TTACTAAGAATTTTATCATTTTTCCTTCAAGGAATTTTGTATAAGTATACCTAAATGATACATTCTTATTGCTTTAAACAATATTTGAAATACTTATTGAAATTATGCCCATTGTAGACCAATCATCTTTAACTTGATACAAGATGCACATCGTATTTAAAGCATAAACAAGTTGTTGTTTAAATCACGAATTTCTTTTCGAAATATTTATATATAATCTATGTTTTCATAATCAAACGTTTTTTTCTGACAACCCGTTAAAAGTAGACCACTGACTTTAATGTATGCGACTTCGATATACCAACCTCTCTATAGAATATAATAATAAGTTCGCACTAAAATTTTGATTGAATTTATCTACTGTTCAAACAGGCGTTCAACTTTAAATAGGTGTTCAAAGTTAAAGTATATAATCTTGACCCAATGACGGTAAGTATTTAAAGAAAGTCTTAATAATATATCGGATAACGTTTTTATAACTGGCATGTTTAGCAATATATAAAAGTTTATAGATATTTTAAACACCCCTTTTTCAAAGATTGTTTATAAATTTCAAAATGAAATGCTTGGCTGCGTTCAATAGAAAATATGTAAACAATATCTGTGATTTAATTTCAAATATAAACTTGTACATTTATAGTATGTTTTATATATGCTATTGGATTATCTATAGTTATTTTAAGCTGATTATGGTACCGTATTAAAGTTTGTTTAATGATTGACAGGAAAATAAATAAATCATGTACAATAGTACAAAGCTAATGAAATCTGAAATATCGGCTGTGTACATGAAGTGACTAAATCAAAAAAGTGCGAAGGGAAACTTTTGTGTATGAGTTTTATTAGACCAAGTTTGAATAATTAAATGACAAAATGGATCTTAACTGTACAAACGTGAACGGGACATTAGTTAGGGTTATTTTAGTACCGGATACTCAAACAACAAATGCAGACGACAGTGATGAAGAATATGACCAAACTGGTGCTATGCATTTCATTGTTGCTACAGTTTTGGTATATTCTATTCTTGGTGTATTCTGTGTGCTTATAAATAGAATCAGACGACTCGGAGGACGCGGCCATCAGAATTTCCTTCAGGACGAAAGCATCCAAAGGTATTTAAAAAACGAGAAAACGCTGAAAATAGACGGAAGGAAAAGTAAACTTGTTTATGAATGTGAAATTATAGCGGAAAAAGTGAGAGCATTTGAAGAAAAGCAAATGTTGTTCCGTCTTGAGAACGAGTTGTCGTCTGACTTTTCGAAAGAAAAATATTCGGAAGGAAGGCAGAAACGGAAGTTACGTAAGAAAAAGCGTGAAGTTGGGAGTACATTAGGAATGATGGGAGCTTCTTTGTTTCACATTAGTTCTAATCAAGGGTTACTGGAAAATAATAACAGACTACCAGACGACAGTGGCGTTGCATCAGACGATAAACACGAGGAAGCTCTACTACCAGAAGACTGGAAACCAGGCGTAAAGTTTACAATAGACCTCATGAACGAGCAAAGCGATACGGAATTTGAAAATATAGATTATGCTGATGCTTAACGGTAGTTTATGATAGCAATGAGGTGATACGAACAGAGGACATCGCCAGGCTGATAAAGCATTTTACGAAAAATAAGTTTTTATAACGCATAGACAGAATGAGTGCCAGAAAATAGAATACAGCCGGTGTTGAGAAACTGTTATTCCAATGGAATTAAAGAGCTACACTAGTGTTTCACGAATCACGCACGCATGTATTTTTAAACCATTAAAAACGTAATATTATATACAAATTTATTTGTCAAAGCTGATGTTGCCTGTTTAATTACTTACAACATAGACCTGTAAGGTCACTAAGTGTCTCACTAAGTAAATTGGGAATATGGGGATAAGATAGTACTTGTTTCTGTGTATATTAAAGACAAATGATTCCGTGGTTGTGAAGAAACAGCAAAACGCAATAATCTAAATACATGTATCTGTGAAATATGACAAAGTTATAGCAATGTTTTGTACATTCATTTGCATTTTTCTACTATTTGTTTCGGTTCATTGATATTTGTTTATTTGCTACATAAATTGTCTTCATTCATTTTATTTTGTTAAAAATCAAATATTCTTTTTTTTATGGAAGTCTTGATGTATTTTCCAAACCTTAGAGTATCATTATCTCTATGAAAGATTGGTTAACGCGTCAGACTAGTAATTTGCGCCGCGTCACGCCAAACCAACATAATGGGTTTGCGACCAGCATGGATCCAGACCAGCCTGCGCATCCGTGCAGTCTGATCAGGATCCATGCTGTTTGCTATCAGTTTCTCTGCTTGTTATAGAGTTTGTAAGCGAACAGCATGGATCCTGATCAGACTGCGCGGATTTAAGGATTACTGACCGCGTGGGTTCAAACCCTGTCAGAGGCAAGGCGTTGTTTCCTTGAGCAAGAAACTTTACATCTGTTGCTTAGTACTACATGTAGTTGGTTACTAGTTGGTTCCAGGAACGTATTCGAGGGTGTTACAAAAAGCTTATAGCTTCTTAAGCCAAATCAAATTTATATAAACTAAAGAGTAAAGTGAACAGATTAAAGAATCAAATAATTTGACGTTTTTTCATAATTGTGTTCATTTTTCATTTTTATATGAATCTTTTTGTTTAAATATTCCATGTAACCAACGGAAAGTTCTATTTTTAAATATCATTGAGAATGAATCTGTAACGTTCAATTCTTAAAGAGGTGGGGACAGTCATTTTATAACTTTTTTTATTGTACATGTATCATAAAACATTATTTTCGTTTTCAATTACATATATATAATCATGAAAATGCAAATATACATGCATTAAATGTAAGTTATTGTATTGTCATATGATCCTGAAGAGAACATTGAGAAAACCGGACCGCTGAGAAAACCGGACAAAACCCTCAGTCCGAAAGCCGTCCGGTTTTCACAACTTTCACTGTATTTGTTAATCGCAATTATAATAGTCAATCTTTTGGAATAAAATAATTAATTCAACTCAACTTCACAGTGCAAAAAATGTGCATAATGTTACTTTATAGAATGATGGTGATAAATGCAGCCCTTTCCACGTTTACATAAAAAACTGCCTGACAAAATGAAAACAAAACACATATTTAAAAAAAAAACATATCTGGAAACTCGGTTTTATTACGTCTATTGAACTGCTACTTTCAGTTTGAAATAGTAATTGGTAATTGAATATCTTAAAGGGACTCCACTGAGTTTTTTTTTAGATAACGGGACTAGAAATAACTTTTCGAGATTAATGTTCTATTTGACCAGTAACTTGTGTGCAAAGTTTATCATTCGCTCTCTCCGTTTTTTAGAATAATTACATGTATTGTTATTGCGAAAAATGACCTTTTTAAAATTAATTGAAAAACCTTGTAATGTTTATCACTCATATTTGACTAAAAATAGCACACAAATTTAATTTTCAATTATTTTCTGATCATATTTTGAATTATCGTTACATATCTTTTTGTTTAAAGTGCCGATCTATGTAAGAAATTCAATCTTCATGTTTTTAGGCTTGTGGACCTTGAGCAGTGGAGTTCCTTTAAAAAATCAGATTACAGGACAAATTAAAATATGTTAATATGCCAAAGATCTCTGTAAGTTGGTCATCATTTATACAGAATATTGTGATGAATTACAACTGAATCGTTATTTTGACTTTTATTTGACGGCTATTAACCAACTGAATTTCATGAACGCACTTGTCCATTTTTCAATTTGGACAAATCCACTAGTCATTTTTAGGGAATATAACAAAGAAAGCACACATTGAATAGCGAACAGTGCAGACTTTGATTATCCGGCACTAGACTGCACGAGACGACACGGGTGTGTCAGCTGATCTTGGTCAACAATGATGGCATAGGTAGATTTAGTGGCCACTTGTTTGTTTGTTTGTTTCATTTTACGTCTTTTCCCAACAGTATTTCAGTCATTTAGGCGTGTAGTTTCCTAACCATCGTTCCTGGAGAGTTACACCAGTATTAGACTACCTTCCTCCGCGCTGAACTACCAAAGCATCTCCCGGGGATCGAACCCACGCCAGAGAGGTATAACTGGATTAGAAGTCATCGACTCTAAACCCTCGACCACGGAGGCGCCTTAGTGGCCACTAGCATGTTATTTATGAGAATGCAAGTAATATACATGGTACTTCTCGCATTAAACATTTAAACTAGACATAAATCAGTTCCAAACTTTCATCTGGCATTGGGTTGTCAGATGAGTTGCGTGCTATACAATGCTTAGGATGACGTAATTTTACCGTTATGAATGAAGTTATAATTTTATACACTGTTGTAAGAAAATAGTTACGGGTGTAAAGATCTAAATTTTCAAGGAAAATTGTTTTATAAAAGTAAGGAATTTAAAACCCAATAGAATATGGTAAAATATGCAAGAAAAAAAAATCTGACACGTGTTTGGGGTTCGGATTGGGGGAACCCGCTCATATCTCATCGGGACGGATATTCCGATCCGAACCGCAACATATGACATAATTATATTATTAGTCTACCTACAGAAATCATAGATAATTTAAGGGTAAATTAATTAACCGAAACAGTTTTTAACACCAATGAAATGTATTTAATTCCGTTATCATGTTACGGAGATTAAATTTGAATGGTTCAAAGTCACGTTATTTAAGCGCGAACTTGTTTATGTAGAAAGAAATATTAATATACATTGTAAACACTTGTGTGATATTACAAGTTTTATAACAAACATATATAAGATGCATTTCATAACATTAACATGTCCTGTAAAGAAATCTACGATTCAAACCAAAGTGTCGCCTATATTTACTACTGAAGGGGAAGGAACTCCAGACTAACCAAAGTGTATATATATAGCACAGTCAAAATCAATCTACTTTCGTTTTTAAATGTGACGTTGTACTGTGTTTACATAATATTATAATTATTAAAGATGGACACTAAGTACTACCATAAATCGGTTTGAAATTATTCCATTTGATAGTGAGGAGACCAAGGTTCATTATAACTTGTGTAGCTACTGATTACAGGATATACTCAAAGACTTATGGGATAGCAGAACTGATATTAAAGATGTTACGACATGTTTGTCAGGTAAAATTATTGGTTTTAACCCGTTTATATCTACATTATTTACATATATCCTAAATATTATTAAAGTTGATTTAAACGATTTTGTTTTCAGTTTATGTACATGCTCACACTTTCACTGCGGGCAATTACACCACTATAACGTTTTTCTTATTAACAGAAAACCAATCTCATTCTTAAATAGAACACCGCCATCTATTCACAATCGCCTTTATCCGGAAATTGACGGAAAGGGTCATAAAAAAACTCTGGGACAAATCCGCAACTTCTCAGCCTTTTCCGTCAGATTTCGGATATGGACGAAAGTCGATTATAAATAATTTACGAGGCGTTCTAAATAGGAAGAGCTCTTCGTATCAACTATTATCCATGGCACTTTGTTTCAAGATAAAACGATGTTTTAATCCGACAATAAATTCAATATGAAACTCTGTGCATTAGTACATTATCAATTGAACTCTTAAACTCTAGTATAATCTACTTTTACACCAAAGTATTGACAACCTTGTCTTTATATATTGATTTATATATGCCTTTTATATATTTATTTATATATAAATAAATTTCTATTTCAGGAATAAATTTGGCTTCCACAAATGAAATAATACGGGGTACTCTAAAATGACTGCTATAGACATAGGTAAACGACTGTTATCGTTTATAGAACGACTCTGTTACAGTTGCAAAGAAAAGTATCAGTTTTTCTAAACGGAATTAGAAAATTTGTTTGGAATCTAATGCTTCCTGCTTTCTCCACGAACAAAAAGTATACATATGCTGCTAAGTTGTATTCAATTTCATAGTAAGCTAAAAAAAATGCTTGCTAAAATTTGTTTTTATTGAAAACAAATTTATGATGGAAAAGACAGATAAAGGATTACCACATCGTGTCTCTTGTGAAAATAATTCGAGCATTCATGCATCCGTATCATCACAAGCACAGTACAGTTACTATGGAAACAATGAAAACAAATCGGAACAAAGTCTTTGTGATCCGTGCCTGGTCTTAGAAAAGCAAGAAGTCGCAACCTCTCTTTGTCTTGAATGTGAAGAACGTCTTTGTGCTTACTGTACTAATCAACATAGAACAAGAAAACTCACAAAATCGCATGAACTTAAAAGTCTTGAAAGTATACCAGTTATGGTCGAATGTGGACTTTGTGAGAATAAAACAGATCAGGGATCATGCATGTACTGCCATGATTGTGAGGAAACATTGTGTTCACGTTGTGCACAAAAGCATAACAACAAGACTGTTTTCAAACATCATAAACTTGTTATGTCCGACAGCAAAACACGAAAGGAAATATTAGTTTGTGATCCGTGTAAGCAAAATGAAGAGGTGAAAACTGCGGAAACTTTTTGTGCACAATGCGAGGAACATTTGTGTGATATATGTACACGTTACCATAGAGCACTAAAGGCCACAAAGGAACACAAACTCAAAAGTCTCTCTTCTGAAATATCGCCCCGTTTCCCATGTTGCGAACCTTGCAGCGGGGATGGTATGTCAGTTAACGCCACACGTGTTTGTGCTCAGTGTGAAGAACTTCTTTGCGATAAATGTACAGAGGAGCATACATCGATGAAAATGATGAAGGGCCATCAAATTAACGATATAAGTGAGGTCTTTAAACAAGATAATGTATGGTGTGGTCAGTGTAAGGAAGAGGGTGTTTTTGAAAAGGCTGTGAAATTATGCTCGGATTGCAAAGATTATTTGTGTGTAAACTGTTGCAAAATTCACAAACGTTTCAAACTGTCAAAGGACCATTCACTACTAGATATAGATGAAGTTAAACAAATAGACATGGATATCAGAAGCACTATGATGACGTGTGGTGATAATAATGACACAGACACTATGAGGAGCAAAGAGGTTAGCCTGAAAATACTACTTTTAATTTTGTTCTTGATTTTACTTTTACTTTAAAAAAAAAAAACCCCGAAAAAATCAAATTACCATATTGGATCAGACATCGCGCGAATATGTATTACACTAAATGATGACCGTCCCACATTATCCTGTCTTAATTTATATAGTAATACATGAATTAAACATATCGATACACTTGCATTGCAAAAACATGATGTTACTTTATTGAAACTAAGGCTGTCAATTATCGCAATATATTTTACTGGATTTTCCTTTTGTGGTATCACAAAACTCATCCTAGATGCACATTCGTTTCCAATTTTAACAATTTTAAATGACATTGAATTTCAGGATAGACCTGGCAAACCAAGAAGGTTGAATGATATTTTGGAAGTCGTTTCACTGACATGGGATCCTCCGTCAGACATCAGAGATGGCTACTACTACCAGATAAGTTACAAAGAGTTGGAACACGGCGGGAAATGGACTCTTTATGATGAAGTCTTTCAAGATGCAACCGCTGAACTGAATGACTTGCGGGCAAATACAGTATTTGTGTTTCGTGTTCGCGTGATATACGAGGACAGAGAAGGGCCGTTTAGTGAAGAAAGTAACGAGATCCGGACGTCTTTATCGGCGGCCTGTCAAGTCTTCCAGCAATCAGTATCATTGGTCAAGGCCAATTTCTCACAACCAGTATATGGTTTACCAATGAACGAAATTATGCGACACGAAACGTCAAGAATAAACAAACTTGAGTTTAGTAAGTCTATTAATTTAATACTGTGTGAATAGTAGAATTTCAAGTTTTTAAACGTTTAACGGCTTCATAAGTCTCCAGTTAAACTGAAAACTCAAAATAATTAATGTTCTCGAAAAAAAACATTATGGAGTTTAAATGTATATCTGGACTTGTAAATTGCTTTGTGAACTGTTTAAGCATATTAAACTGTTTGAGGATGTAATACATTATCTTCATTTTCGAATGATTTAATTAATTGTACGCACAAATGCATACATGTCAGACTAACCAAAACAAATAGAAATATCCGCTATGTATATCTATTTATTAAGGATCAACCGAAACAACGGAGCAAACCTCTAAAAAGACCAAAACCATTTTGATTCTTGGCGGAACTGGCAGTGGAAAAAGTACTATGATCGATTTGATTGTCAACTACATACTCTGTGTCAACTGGAATGATCCGTTCAGATTTAAAGTAACAGATTTAAATAACAAAAGCAAAGACAGAGGCAGTTTCAGTGTAAGAAATTAATACACTATAAAGTAAATCATATAAATCTTAACATATAAGTTATGCATACTTTTTGCTTATAATAGGATACCATTGGCTTTGAATGATGTAAATCTTTTAAAAGCTTTAAAATGTCATGTAGTGAAATGCACACACGGCCCTGTACTTTTATTAATACTTAAAAACATTTTATTCTCATTGCTTACATCTTTGCTATCCGTCATTGTGTAGGTAAATCACTTTGTAAGTATCTCTTTGATTTTCATATTACAGACAGCCTCTCTCACAGAATGGATCACCTGTTACACGATAAATAACATAAATGGAAGCCGGTTATGCTATCAGCTTAATATTATAGATACTCCAGGATTCGGAAATACACGTGGTTATAAGAGAGACCAAGAAATTGTTGACCAGTTACGGGAGATACTCTCCGATAAGCAGCCATACGGTCTGGCATTGATTGATGTGGTATGCTTTGTAATCAAAGCCCATGAATGTCGCCTTACATCTTTTCAAACTTACATTTTCCAGTCAGTACTGACATTATTTGGAAAAGACATTGGACACCATATATGTTCGTTTATGACATTTTCAGATTGCACAGAGCCTTCTGTCATAGACACACTTAAGGAATATAAGTTTCCATTTGGGCCACCGTTTTCATTTAACAATGCTAGTTTGTGTTGTAAAACAGCCGCAACAAGTAATTGTAGGATGAAAAAGATGTTTTGGCAAATGGGAATTAAAAGTTTACATTCTTTTTTTAGTCATATAGAGACGATCGAGGCAAAAAGTTTACATATGACAAAAATGGTTCTTCGGCATCAGTTAAGTTTACGAGAAACTTCTAAATTTGTTTTGTGCCATATAAACGTTTTAATGGAATGTAAAAGCAAATCAGAGGAAGTTCAAAAGGAATTAGACAAAGATAGGTCAGTTGTTGATAACAGTCAAACAATCGATAATGGAAACATGGTGCCAAGCAATATCAACGCTGAAACTCTTGAAAGGATCTCGGCGAACGAGAGAAATATTGAACATTTAGGACATGAAATAAAAACACAATCAGAAGAAATTGAAAGGTGTATTTCTATATTAAAATCAGCCCAAGATAGATTAAAAGAGAAAGCTCTTTTATGCAGGTCATTTTCTGAATATCTTGACTTGCTTATTCAAAATGAAGAACTTGAAAAAACTGAGAGAGGATTTGAAGGAATTAGAATTCTTAAAGAAATGAGCCGTAAAGCGGGTTTTACTTGATAATCATCAAACCGTTGTCATAGCGAACTGTTTATATGAAATAACACGAATTTCAATTATCTCACTTCGTCCTTCATTATGTGAATAAACAAAAAATATGGTTTTAAGTATTGTGTTGAAAGTGGTTTTTCCGATATTTTTTTGTGTGACTTGTATATACATGCATATTTGTTTTAAGAAAATGTAAACTGGTCATGCTACTTGTGTCACTCGGTCAATCATCAACATGGACTTTGCCAGTTAATAGCAGAGAAAACCTTTGTCCCACCTTTTTCTATTCAATGCTAGAGGTTAATTGCTGACGAACAGTATCGCAAACAAAAACATGTGTTTTTTTCTGTTAATCTGGTCAACCAGTGACTATGAAGAATCCAAGTGTTTGCATAAACTGTAAACACTGGAAATGCCAATTTTGGGGTAAAAATCTTATTTTGAGAAATATATTATTATCAACGTGATGACTTTACAAAATTAGCAAATATGAGTATCTATACATACGGAAAAATTGTTTTGTAAAGGTTTAAGTCATCTCTTTTGTAAATATGCACGTATAACAGAAATTTGTCTATTCAATTAATAACATAGCTCAAAACATGGACAATTAATGTAGGAAACATCAAAGCATAAAATTTTCTGGTAAAACTGAGTAACACCAGAAAAGTGAAGATACATTTAAAATTGATACATTACATTAACAGTTTTTATTTGTTAAATAATCTTATTTTTATTCATATTTTCACGCACAAAAAAGAGTATTCATTGGAGTAAAATATCCGACCAAGACAACTTAAACATTCTTTACAAACACAAGAAAGAAGGAAGATAACGACGCAACAAAATATGATATCATAACACTCCGCAAGTAAATTTGTTTTTTTTTCATTTTGAATTGTCGTTATTCTGAGTTTTTCGTTAGAAGTTAAGTCTATGTAAACTGTATGACACAACTGTTTATTATTATTATCATTTTTATTTTCTACTCTTTTTTATCAGAAAGCAAAATGAATCAAAAGTGAAAACCAAATTATATTGTACGAACGTGTGTTAATTTAGATTAATATGGAACTATTAAAAATGCACTGATCATATAAAGTGAGAAAATAAAAATGAAACTCCACAAGGAATTAATATAAGTGTTATGCTTGTTTCCAATTCATATATATTGTGATGTTATATGATACACGCTTGTACATTTTCTTAATAAAATATGTTTAAACTAAGTTTAGTCAAGTAACTCCATGGAGATATACATATGTATTACGTTATATTAAAATATAAAATGTGTTTTAATTTGCCTTGACTTTAGTTACATGTTTCACATCGGTAGTCATGATAATTGCCATTTTTGTTACTGTAACAATAAATGATGACTAAATCATCCATTCCTTATCATTCTATCTAAACTTTGACCTCTATATGGGACCTTGACCTTTGCTGCATGAATCTGAATTTAGCTAGCGAAATTTTGCCTTACAGTACAAATTATATTGAAAATACATTTAGAAACTCTGAAATTAATTTTTCAATGATTTATAAGTGTGCCCTTCTTGACCTTTGACATGGAAACCTTGTTGCGGGACACGGCTACTCTAGTGGAGAACATGTCTATGAAGTTTCATTAAAATCCCTGATACGTAGAGTACAAAATTGACATTGAGATCAAGGTTCAAGGTCATATACATTATGATAGTGAAGTTCATACATCAGAATGCATACATGCATATTTGATTAAAATAATTATTACCAAGGTTAGAATCCACCATTCCAGTTGTAGCCCCGGATTTTTCTATTCATTATAAGGTCAGCTGCTCAGTGTTCTTTTGTGTTAGTAACTATGTATTATGCCCAGTGTAGTCAATGGATACTTGTCAGTCAATTTGCATAAAACTGTTAACAGATGAAAGGTCAATTTTCTCACAGACAGACAAGCAGTAAGACCGGATCAAAACAAAATGGTCACAGAAATATCAATCAAGACAGATACAACAGATAACAACAAAAACAATGATAGAGGACAACAACAAGCATATAAACATACAAGTTTAAGTCATAACCTTTTGGGTTTGTGCAATTGATTGTCCAGCTTTGCATCTAAAACAATCCATTTAAAATACAAGGATACAATAATTGAGCCACCAAGTACACAGCCAGGTCAGACTGTAAGTATGTAGACCAGCATGGCTTTATAATGACGGCTTGTAATTCCAAAATTACATAAACATCCATATAAAGCCCGCTTTAGTGCTAATTCTTTATCTTGTACTACCAGTAATCTTTCTATTTTATTGACTTCTTGTCTTACTGCCATCAAGACACGTGTAATTAGATACTGTGAAACTGTTTATGAAAATACGGGCAAAAATCTTTTTTGGTCTATAAAAAATTCAACTGAAATTTTAGATAAGTTTAAAGTTAAGAATTATCAAGCTTCATCTGTAAGTACTTACGATTTATCTACCTTATATACAACATTGCCGCATAATCTTATAAATGATAAATTAGTATCTTTAATTCAAAAAACATTTGCAAGAGAACAGGTCACGTTTCTTGCTTGCAAAACAAAGAAGGCTTTCTTTTCCAATGTTATCATTAAACAATGTACAATGTGGACTTGTGACGAAGTTTGTAAAGCACTTTCATTTTTATTAAATAACATTTTTGTCAGGTTTGGTAATACAGTTTTCAAACAGGCAATAGGCATTCCAATGGGAACTTATTGTGCCCCCTTGATAGCTGATTTATTTCTTTATTACTATGAGAGGGATTTTATGTTAAGTCTTTCCCCTACTTCGCATCAGGAAATTATACATGCATTTAACAACACTTCCCGCTACCTAGATGATATTTTTAACATGAATAATCCTTATTTCGATCAATTGGTTTCTAAAATATTTCCCAGTGAACTTAAATTGAATAAAAGTAACTCTTCAGACATTATTACATCTTTTTTAGATTTAAACATTTCTATCATAAACAATACTATAGTAACTATAATCTACGACAAAAGAGATGATTTTGATTTTAATATTGTTAACTTACCACATTTAGATGGAGATGTACCTCATGCTACATCATATGGGGTGTATATTTCTCAATTAATTAGATTTGCTAGGGCATGCAGTCGAATTGATGATTTTAATGAACGCAATTTATTTATTACTAACAAACTTCTTAAACAAGGTTATCGCTATCATAAATTGCGTAAATATTTTACTAAGTTTTACCATTGTAATTCAGACTTAGTTTTAAAATTTAATTGTAATTTAAAAACTCTTTTACGACAAGGTATTAGCAAGCCTGACTTCTATGGAGATGTGGTTTACAAACTCCGTAGGATCATGGGTCATAGTAATTTTTCTGCCGTCGTCACTAAAATTATCAAACGGTTTATTAAAAGAGGTTACGACCCAATTATTTTAAGGCATACCGCATGCTTGGTGTTCAACCCTTTTACAGTGGGACGCTACGCTTTCCTCTTTTGATTACATCTCAAGGGCAAAGTGGGAGACTCTATGATGGACAGTTCTTAAAGCCCTTTGGGGACTGAATTGTCTAAATGTTCGTCTTCTGCCTTGCTTCGCCCTTGTAGGTGATTTTCTTGTTGCTCTGCCTTCCTTTAAGGCATCGAGTACTTTGGTAATAGTCATTAGGCAGTAACTTTCTCTACATATTTACATAATTTTGTATGTGTTTTATTTATTTCGTCTAATGTAACCATGACCATTGAGTTTCACTTGTCGGGGATTAACTTTATATACATTTTCGTGTCATTCAGGAACATGTTGGGGCTATGAGTGAGGATTGGCGCGCCTAAAACCGGTTTAAACTCCCCAGTGGTTTAACTACCACTGACCGTTCCAAGGCGGTACCCCTTTGTGTTCCTTCACGTGTTTTCTTGTCTGTATTGTTACTTGTTTTTGGATGTTTACATGTTTTGTGATGTCTGTCTTGTTGGATTGTCGTCAACGGTAGGTATTTTCTCTCCCCCTCTCTTCCATTTTTACCCCCCCACCCCCACCTTTTCACCCGTACAGCCTTTTTCCCTTTAATTCCCTTATGGGCCTTTTTTGTTTGTATTATTTCACATAACATGTCCCGCTCCTTTCGCCCTTGTGTCCACTCCAGGTATTTGTTTGGTGCCTTCTGGGTGTCCTGCTTGGGTGTGTCCGGGGGCGGCGTCCTGTGAACGTTGCCTTTGCCTTGTTGATTTTTATTCTTGTTATTTTTGGACAAGTTATACTTTTGTTTCACGCGGGAAAATGGAAGACTTTCTTAATTGATATCATATAAGCAAGGCATGTGAACTGTTTGAGTTTTTTTCTTTGGAAAAGAACATAAAGATGAACATTATACAATAAATATTGTTTCATATGACTTTAGATGTTGTTTTAGTTTAAACACACTAGAAACCTAGTGTCATTAAAATCCAAAAGCTTCTTTGAATCACTGCTGAGTACACTTTCTCGTACATTTAAACAGTTTAAAAGTTATTATGTATACCCTTCAAGACATAATATTTAAAACACATTTTTTCTTCTATTTCTTCAATTTATTAAAATGTGTCAAATGTGTAGTCAGAAAAGTGGGTCGTATCTTTCCTTATATTCTTAATAAAATCCGAACAGTTTCTGTTTATGTATGTGTACACGGCGACGCAAGGCATCTAATAACCTATTTTAAAGAACCTTCTATTTGTAAATTTGCATTTGGCAGATTAAAAATGCTAACAATAACGATTTGACTTAATGCAATGAATGTACCGGATAAGGTTTATTTGTGAAAATAAACTAGGGTAATAAAAATTGGTAGGTTATTTTTAAATGTTTTGGGTTTCTAGAATACATGCAAGTTTGTTTTTTAAGCATATTTCCTGGGTGACAATAAATTTCACACTGGTTGAAAAACAAAAACATATATTTAAATAATTGCCCGAGGATTGTCATATAAATGATTGCTTCTTGTGCTTCGCGGGTGAGTTTGGTGGGTAAGGGGTGGTGGCGTGAGAAAAGCAAGGAGTTAAAAACTCAAAAACATGTTAAACGGTGACCGTCGTATTCCATACATGTAGTTTCAACATGCCGTGTAACGCCGCATGGCAGCACTGCCACATCGACGTTGAAAGTTTAACTTACACTTTTGCAACAAAAACAAAAGTAATCAAAAGGCAGGAATATATGTATGTCTTATGACAAAGCAAAACGAGGTCATTAAAAGCAATCAAACAACTAAAGCATAACATACTGATTATTCACGCCCTAGGCCGGGCTGATGTGCATGCGCACTTTCATTGAAGAAATATACAGTCATACCAATCAAGAATGTACTGTCAGACAAGTTTAGAAATGTACAGTCAGACAAGTCTAGAAATGTAAAATCAGAACAGTCTAAAAATGTACTGTCAGCCAAGTCTAGAAATGTACAGTCACACCAGTATAGAAATGAACAGTCAGACAATTCTAGAAATGTAAAATCAGAACAGTCTAAAATAAGTGCAGTCAGTCAAGTCTAGAAATGTACAGTCACACCAGTATAGAAAAGTAGAATCAGAAAAGTCTAGAAATGTAAAATCAGAACAGTCTGAAAACGTACAGTCAGACAAGTCTAAAAATGTACAGCCACACCAGTATAGATATGTACAGTCGGACAAGTCTAGAAATATAGAATCAGAACAGTCTTAAAAAGTACAGTCAGACAAGTCTAGAAATGTAGAATCAGAACAGTCTAAAAAAGTACATTCAGACAAGCCTAGAAATGTACAGCCACACCAGTATACAGTCAGACAAGTCTTTAAATGTACATTTTAAGCTGATTGGGCTTTTAATTAAAATACAGCTTTTATCAAATGATAAGCATCTTACGTGCTCTTATTCCATTATTAAAATGTTATACAGCGCAGGTTTGTCTGTTTTAGAGCAAAAACTGTATTCAGTTATGAGTAACGTGCTGTTGAAGTAATAACAATTGGATGATTTCAAAGCAGACTAAGCCCCAAATATATAAAACCTTTTCCTGAGATCAAGCTCAAATCTCGGGTAATTTCATTGGTCAATTCACATTGTGCCTGTTTCTGACCAATCGAATACCTGAGATGTGAGTTTGAGATAAGAATATTTCTTTACAACCTTGGCCCCTGATCGGATATAACTAAACAACAGGGAAATGCTTAATATTTTGTCGGGTTTGACATTTTTTGTTGATGCATTGACCTTATTTTACAAATCAGATAAAAAATTGTTTAGAGGTGCTATCAAACTAGCTTCTGTTTTATTATTCTCTTGAGAAGCTATTGAGAGTATTTGGTTTCATATATCTAGGGACTATGTGTATTGACATAAAAACATGTTGATTGCACTACTTTAAGCAATACTATCCTTCGAGAATGACACTTTACTTAAAGAAATCTTAACTTTCAAAAATTGTCCATTCGATTTAAACATAAATACAGTATATATTTTACGAAAGACTGGTGGTGCATTTCAACTTCTTGAATTGTTTGGTTAATCTTTATTTGTTAGTTTAAAATCGTGAATTTTCGAAGTTGAAATCGTGAAATTCAATACGTGAATTCATCACGTTGAAATCGTGAATTCGTGAATTTAAAATTGTAAATTCAAGAGGTTGAAATGTCCCGACCGGTCTTTCCTATTATTTTTTTGTTAAAATCATCAGTGCGTGGTACTTGATTTTGTAAACATGTTGCTGCACACGGACTACCGTTGTAAAATATTCATTGTATAAAGGATGCATCAATTAATCACCCGCTCACCTAAACTCACGAACCATAGGTTTGTATTTTTACGGGAGCAGGCAGGGATTTTTTTCACTTATTTATAATAAAAATTAAAAAAAAATGATTTACTCTGACTGATATATCAACATATCTAACTGCATGTAATAATTTCCCGCTACTATTACAGGTACCAATTAAAGTTGAAGAATTGTAATAGAATTTTAAGAAAAGTTTAAGATTCAAGTAATAATCCACATGGTTTGTGCGATTAACATATTTGTACGATAGGGCTTTTTGCGTAGTTTTACCTCTTTCTAGTGTTTGCGTCAATTACTTTCTTTATCCACTTTAGAATTATACTTTACTTATAAGTAAATATGAAAGTGAATTCGGAGGCACGCTGCCCGGAACAATATTTAAACAACCTCATTTTAAGTTTATCTTTTCAATAGCTTAACAATTCTGCTATAATTAACGAGTTTTTTTTTTGGCTTTACAATTGCCGGTATTTGCAATTGATTGTCATGAAAACTACTTTTGGACAGGAAATACAAATTCTTATTCAAACATCTAAGAATGGTATAACTAGATCTCCTTTACATCATACTACCTCTGGAAAGGGTTTTAAAAATCTGCATTTATTATACAAAATAATATTTGTAGCGAACTTTTGAGCAGTAAAGTACAAAAAGGCTCATCTTTTTATTATAAAATACATTTAATTCAGTCAACAAATATAGCAAAGAAATAATCAAAAGTCATATCAATACCTTGAGAAAAATAAATATTAAATATAAATATAAATAAAGTTTAAGGTTAAAAATTGAGAATATTAAACATCTTATTCGCTCCTAACTAAACATATGTAAATTGTATCATAGTTTGGAGACCTTTCTGTTGAAAATGTGTCAGGTTTAAATCGTATACATATACATGCACAGTGCGTTAACTGGAGTGCGGGTATTAGTTACCCGCACTCCAGAGCATGCCCATTGATTGGCTCATTTTTGCTGGGGTTTACATATTTTGACGGCAGAGAAAGGGAAAGCGACAGAAATGTCATATCCAGATGTTCGTTCATTGGTTCATTTTTGCCGGGGTTTCATATTGTGATACAGGGAACGTGCTTTTATGTTTGACTATGATACAAAGGAGAAAGAACACCAAAACACTCGGCAATCTGATTTATACTCGGGGGCTACGCCCCCTCGTACAAATCAGATAGCCTCGTGTTTCGGTGCTTTCTATTACTAAACCGACACACACACTTTATAAGTTGGCTAAACTTGTGTGTATCTGGAGTGCGGGTAACTAATACCTGCACTCCAGGTAACGCACTGTGCATGTATATGTATACGATTTAACTCGGACACATATTTAACAGAAAGGTCCCCAAACTATGATACAAATTATCTTATTATGAGGTAACTAAACACAGTTTACGATTTTTACTAAACCATCTCTCTTTTAATACCGACAAGGGAAAGAACTTCATACTAAAAATGTAAAGTCCTATTACAAAAGTTATCTGCCATCGTGAATTATAATATTGGATTTCGTCGGCTCCGATTGTTATACATTATGTTTTATTACGCGCGTGTAGTGGTTTGGGATGTAGTGATTCTATAGAAGCTGTGTATTAGAGCACTGGTGATTAATGTCCGAGATAGTTGAATGAGTTCGGCTAAAAAAAGTTCATAAAGTGTACACGAATATAAAAAAAAATACGCTTTTATCATGGATATAGTTCTATAACAGCATTGATTTTGTGATAACTCGGCTAAACAAAATATCGATATAGGTTATTATACCAAGGCAAATTTGAAGCATTTTTCATTCCTGTGTGCGAGTAATAATATCACGAGGCAAAATTCTGGGTCATACCTGTGACTGTACTAATTGACTAGTGCTTTAATTTGTTTGGTTTATTCATAGCTCAGGACGTGATTTGTCTCCATTATCAGATATGTAAGCATTTTATTGATAAAATAAAACTTTAAGGTGGGTCGCACTTTGCATGTTTTTAAAAATTAATATACTGACTAACTACTGACTAACAAACATCTGTACTTGACGATCCTGGGGTTAGTATCTCGAAGCTATCGTTATATTTGCGTTTACGAACGTGCTAACGATTGACGGAGGGTTGGTTAACGAGAGACTAGCGCGGGTATCTCGAAAGCAGTAGTTAAGCAATCGTTCTTTGCTTACTCGTTAGTTATTAACGATTGCGTTGTGTTATCATTTGAATGCATGTACCCGAAAATTGTGTACAGCTCTTGTTAATATTCACCGAATCATTATTTTGCGTAGACGAAGGTGAATATAAGGTTACGATCATGCTAAACCGGAACACAATCACACGACACGTGCAGGATCCGCCGGTCTGTCGTCTAGCAATATAGACTTGTTTTGCGATGAAAATCCCGATTGCCTTGATAATATCAATTGTGATAGTGGTAAACCTACGAAAACGGTTCCTTTAAAAAAAGAGAACAGTCATTGGAACTGCCCCTGTTGAAAGTTCCAATGAAACAGGCGTGATTTCTAATTGAGGGGCGGGGCGGGAACTTAACATAGAAACTGCAAAAAAAAAACGACTGTATATAGAACCGCAGAGACTGAAGATTTAGCAGCAGAGGCTGCCAGTGTAGTCAGATATTTTAAACTCTTTACATAGTTAAAGCCAATATTCTGGCGGAGCTTCTTCTCAATACCAGTCAAAAAATCTGGGAACAGATAACCATCCCTCATTCTTCAGGCTATAGCAACATGTTGTTTTAGGGTGTAAGTATACTGTCAATATTCAAATTTGAAAATGTTGCTTTCATTGTTGCTTTCCGTTTGAGTGAAATATGGACTTTATTTTTTTACGAAACATAATGAAATTTTACCCTTTAGACAAGCATATGTACAGCAACTCTTTCTAAAATCCCACTTGCTACACAGCTACAAAGACGTCATGCGCCTAACAATGACGCCATGAGCAAAACAATTACTTCATAAGCATAAATATATATTAAATATGTAAAGTCGATTTTCATTGGATAATCATGACGTTTATATTATTAGTTTATTAAGATTTTTGACAGGTAATATTGCCCTACATAAACGACTGTTTGGAAATATAACCCGAGCCGCTAGGCGATGGTTATATTGCCTACAACCATTTAACATGTCAGGAATATTTATAACGAATTTATAAAACCGCGAACTTCCCTTTTTTTTTGAGAAAAAAAAGTGAGATTTCTTTGAAAATTGCCAGAAACAGTGTATATAAAACTATAAAAATGTCACGATTCTCCAATGAAAAGTGACGTGACAAACGTGCAGTATTATAAAATCTTTTATAATACTGCACGTTTGTTACTGCAAGTTTGGTACGTCAATTTTAATTGGTGTTTATATAGTTTATATACACAGCTGCTGTCAATTTATCAAGAAATCTCTCTTTTTTCTGCAGTATTGTAAATTCGTTATAAAGATTTTTAACAGGATATATGGCCGATATAATTTTGTTTGCAATATAACTCTCACGTGGCGGCTCGGGTTATCGTTTATATACGGCCATATAACCTGTCAAAAATCTGTATTACTAAATATATACATGGCTGCTGTTAATTAATATGGATAAATTTTCATTTTGCAATTCAGTTCCATATGATATTTTCATAAATAATGTATAATGTACGCAATAAGATTAATAAGTTCTTCATCAAGATATATTTTAGTTGTACCAGCGTGTATACCTATACCGGAAGTGGGTATAATACGTCACAATCTCGGTCTCGTCTGTCTCGCGAGAATGACAGAACGCCAAAATGGCGGCGCCCATGTACTTATTTCTCAAGTAAAAAATAGTGTCTTAAAACACGAATTTCTCACTTATAGGGTTGATGTCAACAGAAAAACTGTCATGGTACCTCTTTTTAAATGATGAATATTTATATTAGACAGACATCAATCCATCCATTCCTATTCCTTTAAACAAAGGATGCTTGCTGTATTATAAATTAAAATATAACGAGTTAAATTATAACAACTGTTGTTCGCGAGTGAAATATATGTTAATATAAAATGATAAACAAACAACATTTCTATATATTACATCCCTTTTTGTGGTACCGATTTTTGCAGCTGACGTAATGCATTTTTCTTCATGATGTAATTAATACGTCACAGTTTACTTTTCGAAATATAATATTGTAACTAGTTTGAATTTTGTTGAATTTTCAGCATGATGTATGCATATATTTATTTATGTTTTCTTGTGCAAAATTACACATTACGGAGATTATTCCTTTTGCTGTTTAAGTTATGATATGTTGTTTTTTTTCATCCGCATTCAAATATAAGTCTTAAATTAAAATGTAAAGAACCTTTACATATGTTTGAATTGTGAGAAAAATTTTGTTTGTTTGGATTTTTACGGGTCGTCAACACATAACTGGCCATATCGTGTCGAATGCTATAATAGGCTTAAAATGTTATGTAAAACTTTGTAAATGACAATAAAAATGAGCCAATTAGATCCAAGAATACAAGTTTATCTCTTTCAAATAATCAATGATATTTTTTATGGAATTGTATTAAAGAGTTCTTTGAGTGAATTTACACAATAAAATCTATTACAGGGCCTGTGAAAATTCATGAGAAAAAGAAATACAATAGATCTACTATATTTATGTCGGTTCATCATTTTTTATCAATAAAATGATATAATTCTTATTTTTTATGTACTTTAAAATCGCACCTTTCTTATTTTTGTGTCAAAATGATAGTAACGAGCGCCTTACGACACCCTCTAGGCATCCGTTAATAATTGGACATGTTAACGATTATTCGTTAATTACGAGAGCGTCGAGATAGCGGTGAAAACCTTAACGAGAGGTATACGATAGTCGTTATGCTAACGATAGCTTCGAGATACTAACCCCTGCAGTATTATTTATGTTATCAAAAAAAAAAAACACCATTATTTTAAGCTAAATTTAAAAAGAAAACAAAAAACAAAACAAAAACAACTTTTTAATGAGGTAAAAACGAAGTGTGTTGAATGCGAATCTTTTTGTTGTGTGTACAATTTCTTTCTTTCTCTTTCTTTTTTTTCTTTCTTTCTTTGTTTGTTTGTTTGTTTCTTTCGTTCGTTCGTACGTTCTTTCTTTCTTTCTTTCTTTCTTTCTTTCTTTCTTTCTTTCTTTCTTTCTTTCTTTCTTTCTTTCTTTCTTTCTTTCTTTCTTTCCTATGCAAACATAATCAATAATCCATGTGACCAACTGACTTTTTTATAAATTCTGTTCGGAATAAATCTGTTACGTTCCATTTGTAAAAAAGTGTAATGCAGTATTTTCATAATTTAGGTAGTTTTTTCTTTAAATTGTATCCTCGACATTTTTCATTATCAATTATTGGTCAATTATAATGGTCAATGTCTTGAAATACATCACTAATGCACGTCAGCTTGACAGCGAAAAAATGAACATAATGTCACTTTAAAATATCTTCAAAATGGTACTTATTTGCCTTTAAAGCAAAAAGTATGCAGTATGGAATTAAAGTTTATTTATTTCAAAGCAGCCGATGATCTCTTTGAAATTATTTTCTTTGAAGAGAAAACCAAATGGAGGCCGACACTGCAAACCAACAGGAAATGGCGCTTACAAGCAATATAAATTCAGATACAGGAAGAAAAAATACTGTAAAAAGAGGCGTTATCCGAATGGCCAGCTTTTTGTTTTGGTCAAACTTTACCGCTTTCGTTTCGTTAACGATTGGGTGTTTTGCTCCTGGATGGGATTCTTATGGAGGGATTCACTATTCTCTTTGGTATTTCACATACTGTGACTCACCGCATGTTGACAAATACTACGCCTTTCCATCTCCTATCAAGTGTGTGACGATGACGTAGTCAGATTGGTTATTCTCCGAGAGTACACAAAGGTATAACTAAAGGGAATACACTGAGTTTTTTTATATAACGAGACTGGAAATAATTTCTCGAGATTAATGTCCCATTTGATACTAACTTGTACCCAAAATTTCAATCATTTGCATACTCCGTTTTTCCGGAATTATAGTTCTGATTGTGAAAAATTACCCATAATTGAAGAGCGTTGCAATTCAAGTCGGGCTAAAAAATAACTCATAAATACGATTTTTAATATTTTCCTGGGTATATTACTAAATCATCTTTTGTAAATATTTCTGTTTTAAGTTCTCCACCCGATCAATGTTAGAAATTCAAATTTTGTTTTGAGACTTTTGGATTAGTGGAGTTCCTTTAAATTTTACATGTCCGAAGCAACATGGTCAAGACATATACCAGTATTTTTTAAAGCCATTTTAGTAACGAAAAAAAAAAGTTTTGGATAACAATTATTCAAACGTTTCATAATAATTATTTGAGCCACGTCACGACAAAACCAACATAATGGGTTTGCGACCAGCATGGATCAAGACCCGCCTGCGCTATCAGTTTTTCTACTTGTAAAATAGTTGGTAAGCGAACAGCATGGATCCTGATCAGACTGCGCAGATGCGCAGGCTGGTCTGGATCCATGCTGGTCGCAAACGCATTACGTTGGTTTTGTCGTGACGTGGTTCATTTTATGAAAACTAATTATTTTAGTAATTTAATATAGATTTATTAATTTAGAACATTTTATGTCGGAATCTTTATCATTTGAAAGCGATGGCGCAATATCAAATACTAAATTTGTCGAATATTTGTTATGGTTATGAAACAATGTCGTTGTTCCATATGTTATATATGAATTCGCCTGCAAAAGTCAACTTTCTTTTAAAAGCTTTGTTAATTATTAATCTTCACTAACTTGTTAATACTTACTGTAGGATTAAAAAAAAATAATAAATTTTATTGAGTTTCTTTATATGTTTATTGTCAGAGAAATCTGACAAAAATGTTTGCATTGCGATAAGTTTTCTATTTATTTTTCTTCTACCATAAATCTTTACATTTTCATAAATGAAATTAATTAACATCACCACTTATTTCATTTGTTTTGTCTACATCTCGATGAAGCAATCATTATCACCAATTATTTCATTTATTTTGTCTAGATCTCGATGAAGCAGACTTTGCGCAAGCGGAAGTGCTATATTGCATCGGAATGATTTTGTCTTTTGCCACATTGATAAAATTTTACCAACACAGACAGAAAGTTGCCAGGGGTATTGGTGATGAATTTCGTTTAAAAAAATGGGCTTTTCTTCTAATTTTGTCAAGCCTCTCAGGTATGCTGTTTTCATATGCTAAAAGCCGCATTATTTTTTCTTTTATATTAATAATAGAATCTCATCCTGTTTGATGGCTTCAGCCTCATAATTAAGTATAATTGAGCCGCGTCATGACAAAACCAACGTAATGGGTTTGCAACCAGCATGGATCCAGACCAGCCTGCGCATCCGCGAAGTCTGATCAGGATCCATGCTGTTCGCTTACCAACTCTACTTGTTATAGGGTTTGTAGGCTGGTCTGGATGCGCAGGCTGGTCTGTATCCATGCTGGTCGCAAACGCATTACGTTGGTTTTGTCGTGATGCGGCTCATATAGTTTGATGGATTCTAGTGATTTGTTCAATCAAAACGAAATTATATCAACTAAACGTACATGAACTATGCAATAGTAGTACATCTCACAACAAAGTGAGTTATAATTTTCTCACTTCTCAGTTATGATAGCATAATCACTCAAAACAAAAATAGTATTCCCCAATTCATGTACATTTAAAGACATATGTACTTCCAAAGTATTAAATGTTTTTTTTATTTCATTTCAGCTGTACTTGTTTTTCTTCCCGTCGGAATGTTTCATGGAAACATTAGAGGCACCCTGTCGTCTATAACCCAGTTAATTGGAAAAGCTACTGCTGGATTTGGTGGAGCAGTGATGGCATTGACTGCTACGTCAATGTTTTTATGTTGTCCAGCTCTTCCCTGCAGTGTCTTTAAGTATGATTATACAGCCTGTCAGCCTGTGTAATACAATCAATCTTCGTGTAGTGTTTGCAGCATTCCCACCGACTGTGTCTATAGCAACATGAGGTCTTCATCGACACACGTGAAAGAGCGGGGTCTAATGCTTACTTGACTTTTACATATGTTTAGTTATCATCATCATCTGTCGCTCATCATCGTCACATATCTCCCCTTTGCACTGATGACACTTGCCTAGGATATTGCTACCAAATAGTTTATAATACAAATTTGTTTAAATAACTGAGCAGATGTTTATAATAGTTGTTTATCTAGATTCTACTATAATTATAGCTTTTAAAATATTTTCAGAACTTGAAGCAATAAGATTGTAGTTATATTTCATACATTTTATGTTAAAACATCGTAGAGATTTTAATTTTGTTTTTAATTGAAAGTAGGTCGCCAATTACTGACATTGCTAGTATAGGCAAGAATTGATGTAGACATGCATTACATGAAAGTAGGAAACCCTTAATATGCAAAAAAATTGCCGATACAGTTTAATGTCTAAAAACTTTAAATTTTTTAAATAAAAATGTGTTTTTTAATATTTTTTGGGAAAGGGTACCACTTTGGGGAAACTTTAAAAGGGAATTCTTTTTCTTTTTAATTGTTGGGGGAAATTTTATATTTGTTCTTTTTCACTGGTTTTTAAATTATCAAACATATTTTTCATTTTGGGGTATTTTTCTTTTTAAAAAAATTGGTCATATTTTTAATTAAACGCCAAAAGTCCCCCACTAATTTAAAAATTTTTTGCAATAAATTTTTTCTGTTTTTTTCGACTTTTTCTCCTACTTTAAATTTTTTTAATTTAGTTTTCAATTTTAAACCCAAAAAACAAACCCCAGACTATTGACCCCTTAAAAAAATTTAAACAAATAAACAAAAAAAACAGCACTTTAAAAACCGTTTAAATTTCTCTTTAGAAACTGTTTTGTCACTATGGCTTCCTTTGTCGGTTCCATAATAACACAACTTTCAAAGCTAAGTAATCCCGATTTTTTTTTGTTCAAATGTAGTTACACGTAGAATAATGAATTAATGGTGTATATCGATTTAAAGTAAGCAAACCCCAGCTCGATATTTCATTCCATAGTTTAAAAAAGATTTTTTTTTCTAATTTAGTAAAGTTTTTTTTTCTCATTGGAAATGTACTGTGTAACATGTGTTAAATGATTATACACTTTTTTGTTCGTACCGGAACTGTCATGCCCCCATATTGTATTGAAAAATGCTTGGGTGAAAATAAAAGATATGTTCTGTTCTGTTCTGACTAATAACAACTTATCATCCAAAAAAAGGACGCGTAGTGTTTGTCACAAACTCTACTGATAATTGTTTATTAGCAGAGGGAACAATAATAACTCTTTCTTAGATTGATAACGTTTTACTGAGGTTTATTAGGTTTGGCAGTGTTTTGTCTATGGCTGTATAATAATACATGTAGTATAAGATTGACAATTACATGTATATAAATTATATTCTAACACGACCAGCATGTGTCCCTATTAAACATAGAAGAACCGAAAGTGTGTGTTATTATGCTATAAAATCACTGTTTGACGTTCTATATTTAGACATGTGACGTAATCATTATACACGTGACGTAACCACTAAAATTGTGACGCGCTGACAAAAAGTACGGAAAAAAGATCAGGCGAAATTTAGCTAAATATTTCAGGTACGCAGCATTTTAATTGTTGATGTTCGTGTTAGAATCGAAATAATATATCCAAATCGGTGATTTTATTGCTTGATAACATCACTGTTTGTCGTTCGGATGCGCATCATTATATCACTCGGGCTACGCCCTCGTGATATAATTCCCCGCATCCGAACTCCAAACAGTGATGTTATTTAACAATAAAATCACGGTTTGGGATATATTATTTCTTAAATATACGAATACGAATACGAACTTTATTCAGCATAAAACATAGTATAATGTTTATAGTCATAGAAATACAAATAAACATATACATACAATGAGAAACAGAACAATTTTCCGGAGAGTAAAAATATGTGTCAGAAAAATAAACAATTCTAGATTTCCATACAACCTAAGTTTCTATGTGTCGTCCATATTGTTATATGGTTATGTGTGATCAAGAAATACGTTTCTGATTTGCAAAATACAAAAATTTAGACAATGCCAACAGTGTTCTCTTTGATCTATATGATAAAAGATTATCAAATTTATACATGTTTGGCCAATGACAATATATAGGTTTAAAAATTTTTATTCTAAGCTCTCTATAGTGTGGACACAAAAGCAGAAAGTGGTATTCATTTTCAGTTTTTCTCATGTTACACGATTTACATATTCGGTCTTCACGTAGGGTATTATCATAATTATCTTCCTGTTTCAATAAAAAGTTCTAAACCTAGTAAGGGCTACTCTATATTTATTTTCATGTACGGAGTCTAAATATAATTCCCTAACAAAATTGTGTTTAAATAGACAATAAGTTTGTAATCTTGAAGAATTATTAATTTCGTCATACCATTTCTGCATATATGTGTCCAATAATCTTTGTTTTATAGAGTTAATCGGAATTTCTATATCAAATTGGTTATCCCAGACATACCCAAATCCGTTACTTGATAGAATATCTTTAACATAAGAGGCCCAATTTTTTCCACCTTAATAACGACCGGAGTCCGTGTCGGATTTGAGGACAAGGTATGATGGTTTTACAATTGAGGAGTCATTCTGTTTAAGTATCTTTTTCCAATATCGGAGTATATTAACTTTACGAAAGATTTGTATTGGAACTCGACCTAATTCTCCATAAAGAGCTGCAAGATTCGTTGACTTTTTTACACCCAGGATTCTACGCAAAAATTTTGATATCTGATGCATCGTGTAAACCCCAAACTTCTGAACTAAAATTTAAAATTGAACCTACTAAAGAATCGAATAGTTTACATTTCTGATAAACTGGTAGCTGTATGTGTCTAAAAACTGTAGAAAGGTTAAAAAGTGCATATGACGCATGTTGAGCGATTCTTTTTTGGCGTCCGCGCCGAAGCGCGGCGCCTATTGGAATGAAATGAGATTTTGTGAAAGGGCGACAGCAACTTCTCGAGCCTTTTATAGTTGCCAATAATAAAAGCCGATCATTCCGATCGGTATGAGGGTGCTTGATTGTTAATTAATCGCGATATGTACAATGAATGGCGAACTGGAGAATTTCGCAATGCAAACATTTTCAAATGAAATAACCTTTTCCGTCAATAAATCGCGCTCTTCGGGGTATTTTTGCTTATCATTTTGTAGTACACAGTGGGTTATTATGGTATGTTATTCCGAAAGCTGTTAATAGAATGATGAGTTGATGACCTTAATATTCCGAAAATCTATTTATAGAGGGATGTACTCCTAGGTAATTCCCGGTCTCTCCCGGGATTTACTAATGACCGGCGAATAGTACCACACGTTTATTGTCCGGTCTCTCTCCGGTTTTGGAGTAGATATCGTTACAGAACAGAAAACAAATATTTTACAGATAAATAAGCTTTTTTTCAAAATGAATGTTTGTCACTTAGTTTGGTTACAATAATTCATAAACACAGATCAACTCTCGAATTGATTGATTATTATTATACATAAACATACAATTCGAAAAAAAAACCAACAACACAAATCGCATGTTATATTTTATCTTTATGAGATAAAAACAATAAATATGTACAATAATTGAGAAAAAATGTACATTTTTATGGCATTAATATGACACTATCAACTTTAAAACATTTTATATAATTTGTTATTCGTGTTTAGTAAAGATTCCGAGGAATTATTCAAAGTTACAAATCAGATTTTATGAATTATTCAATTGATTGATAATTTAAAAAATGATAAAGAAAAAATACAATTGTACATGTATATGGTTTAAGAATAAACAATATTATAAATTGAAAGATTAACCATGATTTACTGACTTTTTCCAGTTAAGTTTTGACTTATAATCGTCGATCATTATGACAATTGAATTCTTAAAATAGTAGTAAACGTAAAAACTCAGTATTAAAATAGCGCATAAAACACACACAAAAAAAGAAAAGAAAACAATATTCATAAAATCTGTATTTTTTATTAAAATAGAAATTACATTTATTGTATAATAAAACAATTATGCTCAACATGATCAACATGGTAATATAACAAGTGTCATATTGTTACTTAGTGTGAACAGATACCTTAAGAGGGGGTCCTCGTTAATAGCAATAACATAATAAGGGACAATTACACAAGTATGGTGTTGATCATGCGTTACACATATGGATTATAAATGATTGTATACATGTATATCCGTTGCTATTAATAACCACGATCATAAAGAAATACAAGTAATATTCTAATTTCTAGCATGCCGATCAAAGTTATAAATAATGAACAATGTCTTTCGTCCGTTCATTCAAAAGTGATATACAATTCTGGTAAAACCCAATGAACCATTGAAAAGTTTATAAGAATATCTTGTCATCATATATCTATAGTTCATCTACACCTGCTGTTTGGACGCCCTTTGATGCTTTGCATCAATGCTTTTCTTGTTGTGTTCTATATTAGTTACCATTTTTGAAAAGTGTAATACCAAGATATTTAAAAGATTCGACAATTTCTATTCGTTTGTAAACAACCCTAAGTTTTTATTAATAATAATTTGGTTTGAAATATTGTTTTGGCAGGTACATCATTCAAAATTACGCAGTAGAAATTATGCATGTTTGATAAGTAGAAAATATATTGCCTGTGCTATTACAATGTATATTGACAACATTATATGTTATTTTGGTTTTGGAGTGATATATGTGGATATATTACCTGTCAAGATTTATATCACCCGAGCCGTTAGGCGAGGGTGATATTTTATCTTGGCAGGTAATATATCCACATATATCACTCCAAAACCAAAATAATAATTTTATTACCTTTCCCGTGCCGAGTTAAGACGATTTTAAAATAAATCATTGCTACTTCAAATGAAACGTCGAAATAAGATTCCCTTTAGGATACCCCTTCACCATAACATGACGTCACATAAATGCATGACGTATTTTCTTTCGAACATAACGGATGTAAACAAGAGAAAAGGAGTAGTCTGTTGAACGCACTTTTTTGGAATTATTATCAAGCTTTCACAAGGTCATATTTGTTTCCTATACTGACGAGAATATGTATCATTACTCTATTTTGGTAAATATTTATCATTTGATAGTTTAAAAGTGCTTATAAATCGGAATTTATATCGCGTAAAGTCAAACCGTACGCGCATCGCACGGCGCATGTTGTTTACAACGTGGGGTACCAATCGGGGAAATTTAATGTGTATATTACCCGTCTGGCTCGGTTATATCAATTTCTTTCGGGTGATCAATATCCAATCAAAAAGGCGGAAAAAATCTGGAAGGGTTATAAAAATATATATAATCGTTTAATTAAAAACAAAAACAA